AGCCACTCAGCCACTCAGACTTTCTTTCTGTCAGCCACTCAGCCACTCAGACTTTCTTCCTCTCAGCCACTCAGCCACTTGAGTGGCTGAGTGGCTGAGTGGCCGCCGTGAACCGCGACCCGGATTGCACATCCTCTCGTTTTTTGGAGGGGTCGGGTGCCGCTGTGCCACTGGCGTTCGCTTCGAAGCTGTGCTTTTGTGACAAGTCCTTCAAGTCTAAGCTAAAGCTGCAACTTTGGTGGGTGCGAGTGTGCTCCCAAAGTGCCGAGATCACTCCAAACGTACTTTGCTGCAGACGTGAAAATGTGATGTAGTAGATAGTAGTAGCTTTTAGCGACAGGCGCGGGGAGTCGTGAGTTTTGTGGTGGTGAATGTCGCTGTCGTTGGGATTGGTGTGTCAGCGGCTGTGGCTTGGAGCTGCGACAAGAGCGTCCTGCACAAACGTCCCCTACAATAGTCTTCCATAAGAGTGTGCCATAAAGTCTTCCCCAAGAGTGGCCCACAACTGTGCCGCATCAGAGTAGCAGAGCGTCGTAAAAAGGTGTCAAGCGAAAGTGTCCTAAAAGGGTGTCGAGAAAAGTGTCAAGCAAAGTTGTTGTTCCAACGTGTGTTATATACAAAAGTGTGCGACAAGTTTGCGCGACAAAAAAACCTTACAAGAGTGCGCGACAATAGTAAGCAATTACCCCAAAAGAGTGGCCTGGACAGTGTCCTACAACATTGCACGACAAGCGTCAGACAAGACTGTCGCAAAGGAGTGTCCTACGCGCCCAAAAAAGTTTCAAACGCAAGTGTCGCACAAATGCGTCCTACAGGAGCGTCCTATACAAGAGTGTCGCAAAAAGGGGCCAAACACAAGCGCCGCACAAACATGTCCTGTAAAAAGTGCCCCACAAGACTGTCGAAGAAAGTGACCCACAAGGCGCTCTCATGCTTTCTCCCACAAGTTTGCGCAACAAGAGTGTTGCAAAAAGCGTGTCCTACAAGAGTGATCCACAGTGTTTGCACAAGAGTGTCCGCCAAGAGCCAAAAGTGTTGAACAAGAGTGTCAACCAAAGTGTCGCACAAACATGTGCTACAAGAGTGTGTCACCCCACAATGTCCGTCAAGAGTGTCTTTGGCGAGCGTCGGGCAAGTGCAGTGAGAGTGTACATTCGGGTCCGCGGGTTCAATCTTGCGCTTGTGTTTAGTGATGGTGCTTAGTGGCACTGCTCGACCACGTGGTAGAATAAGCAGCGTTGTTTTTTTCCGTCGCAAGTTCCGGTCCCATGGGAGGGAAAGGAAGATGTTTGAGGGGAATCGATGTTAGTTAGAAGTAGTTAGACTTGCCGTTTTGTCATTTTGTAGGCTGGAGAAGCTCAAGTCCTGCTTGGTGTCCAAGCCACACGGTGACTTGGAAAAAGAAGCTGCCTACTTTTGCGACACAGTGAAGCCTTTGATGGTTTCTTTGAGAGAGGCGGGCCGCTGTGATTCATAAGTCATAAGTTTGCCTGTCCCGACAATGTGTCATTCAAGAAACGCCTGTCCCGACAATGTGTCATTCAAGAAACGTGTAGTTATGAGAAACTCTTGTGGGAAAGCCAAGCGCATCAGCTTTAAACGAGTGGAAGATTTGAGTGGTTTGCTTTTCATTTTGCGCACATTTTGTTTGGGGTGGTCAACCATGAGATGTTTCAATCAGACCTTTTGCGCAATGTGTATTGTTCTCGCAGTCAGTGGACAATGCAGAATCACTCATGGAAACTGGTCTCTTGGATAGACTAGTGCAGCGCTCAAAGGTGCAAAGTTGAAGACTGGAAATATCATATAATTAGTCGAAAGTCGACTGCATACATGTTATTGATACATGTTGAGTGCCTTAGTTGTCTTGATGCTTAATTGATTGTTGAAGTGCATGTTGGTACCCTTTGATCAAATGGAACTTGGGGAGTTTGAAGCACATGGGACTTGCCAAGGCTTGTATCCGTATTCGACCTACGAGCAGATGATTTATTCGCACCATTTTTGATTGTCCTGCTGACAGCTGCGTGGATTGGCATGCTCTCTGGAAGCGCATTGCCAGCATCGACAGCTGTCAGTGTGTTTTGGAGCCCACCATAGACACCAGATTGACTGCCATTCAAGAGCTTGAAATGTTCTCCAGTCAAAATGTGCCTGAATTGAAATGTCATTGGTTTACAATTGGCAACGATCTTGAATGTGCAAAGTGTTGGGCAATTCAAGTGGAGCTTGATATATTGGAATGCCTGAGATTTACCATGTTTACCAATGTTGTTTGAATAAATGGATTCAAGGAATTACATCTTATTTAAGGGCTGCCGCCCCTGCCGCCGACCCCGGATTCTCAGGTCCGGCTTTTCCTCCACTGGTTGGCATTGCGAGGGTTGTTCGAACAGGGGTTTCAGTCGTCCTTTTAAAGGTTGCTCTTCTGGAATCGTCGTTTCTTTCCGGTGTCGAGGTTGGTGCCCGTGCGGAGCGTTTCATTGCCTGCTCTCTGGATTGTTTGCTAGCATTTTCCACCACTAACCAGCCTCCCAAAAAGCATCTGA